ATATCCATTCTCCTATTCATATTCCCCCTACACCCGTTCCTCCTCCTACCTGCCAACACAGCCAATCCCCCCAGCTTCAACTACACCCACATTAACCCGCCCTCCATCCCCTCTATTCCTTCCACTCCCTCCATCCCCTCTATTCCTTCCACTCCCTCCACTCCCTCCATCGCCTCTATTCCTTCCACTCCCTCCATCGCCTCTATTCCTTCCACTCCCTCCATCCCCTCTACTCCTTCCACTCCCTCCATCGCCTCTATTCCTTCCACTCCCTCCATCGCCTCTATTCCTTCCACTCCCTCCATCCCCTACTCCTTCCACTCCCTCCATCGCCTCTATTCCTTCCACTCCCTCCATCCCCTCTATTCCTTCCACTCCCTCCATCCCCTCTATTCCTTCCACTCCCTCCATCCCCTCTATTCCTTCCACTCCCTCCATCCCCTCTCTTCCTTCCACTCCCTCCATCCCCTCTATTCCTTCCACTCCTCCATCCCCTCTATTCCTTCCACTCCCTCCATCCCCTCTATTCCTTCCACTCCCTCCATCCCTCTATTCCTTCCACTCCCTCCATCCCTCTCTTCTTCCACTCCTCCATCCCCTCTATTCCTTCCACTCCCTCCATCCCCTCTATTCCTTCCACTCCCTCCATCCCCTCTATTCCTTCCACTCCCTCCATCGCCTCTATTCCTTCCACTCCCTCCATCCCCTGTATTCCTTCCACTCCTCCATCCCTCTATTCTCTTCCACTCCCTCCATCCCTCTATTCCTTCCACTCCCTCCATCCCCTCTATTCCTTCCACTCCCTCCATCCCTCTATTCCTTCCACTCCCTCCATCCCCTCTATTCCTTCCACTCCCTCCATCCCTCTATTCCTTCCACTCCCTCCATCCCTCTATTCCTTCCACTCCCTCCATCCCCTCTATTCCTTCCACTCCCTCCATCCCCTCTATTCCTTCCACTCCCGCCATCCCCTCTATTCCTTCCACTCCCTCCATCCCCTCTATTCCTTCCACTCCCTCCATCCCCTCTATTCCTTCCACTCCCTCCATCCCCTCTATTCCTTCCACTCCTCCATCCCCTCTATTCCTTCCACTCCTCCCATCCCCTCTATTCCTTCCACTCCCTCCATCCCTCTCTTCCTTCCACTCCCTCCATCCCCTCTCTTCCTTCCACTCCTCCATCCCTCTCTTCCTTCCACTCCCTCCATCCCCTCTCTTCCTTCCACTCCCTCCATCCCTCTCTTCCTTCCACTCCTCCATCCCCTCTATTCCTTCCACTCCCTCCATCCCCTCTATTCCTTCCACTCCCTCCATCCCCTCTATTCCTTCCACTCCCTCCATCCCTCTATTCCTTCCACTCCCTCCATCCCTCTATTCCTTCCACTCCCTCCATCCCCTCTCCTCCTTCCACTCCCTCCATCCCTCTCCTCCTTCCACTCCCTCCATCCCTCTACTCCTTCCACTCCCTCCATCCCCTCTACTCTTCCACTCCCTCCATCCCCTCTACTCCTTCCACTCCTCCATCCCCTCTACTCCTTCCACTCCCTCCATCCCCTCTACTCCTTCCACTCCCTCCATCCCCTCTATTCCTTCCACTCCCTCCATCCCCTCTATTCCTTCCACTCCTCCATCCCTCTATTCCTTCCACTCCCTCCATCCCCTCTACTCCTTCCACTCCTCCATCCCCTCTACTCCTTCCACTCCCTCCATCCCTCTACTCCTTCCACTCCCTCCATCCCTCTATTCCTTCCACTCCTCCATCCCTCTATTCCTTCCACTCCTCCATCCCCTCTATTCCTTCCACTCCCTCCATCCCTCTACTCCTTCCACTCCCTCCATCCCCTCTACTCCTTCCACTCTCCTCCATCCCCTCTACTCCTTCCACTCCCTCCATCCTCTACTCCTTCCACTCCCTCCATCCCCTCTACTCCTTCCCACTCCCTCCATCCCCTCTACTCCTTCCCACTCCCTCCATCCCCTCTACTCCTTCCCACTCCCTCCATCCCCTCTACTCCTTCACTCCCTCCATCCCCTCTACTCCTTCCACTCCCTCCATCCCTCTACTCCTTCCACTCCTCCATCCCCTCTACTCCTTCCACTCCCTCCATCCCCTCTATTCCTTCCACTCCCTCCATCCCCTCTATTCCTTGCACTCCCTCCATCAACTCTATTCCTTGCACTCCCTCCATCCCCTCTATTCCTTCCACTCCCTCCATCCCCTCTACTCCTTCCCACTCCCTCCATCCCCTCTACTCCTTCCCACTCCCTCCCATCCCCTCTACTCCTTCCCACTCCCTCCATCCCTCTACTCCTTCCCACTCCCTCCATCCCCTCTACTCTTCCCACTCCCTCCATCCCCTCTACTCCTTCCCACTCCCTCCATCCCCTCTACTCCTTCCCACTCCCTCCATCCCCTCTACTCCTTCCCACTCCCTCCATCCCCTCTACTCCTTCCCACTCTCTCCATCCCCTCTATTCCTTCCACTCTCTCCATCCCCTCTACTCCTTCCACTCCCTCCATCCCCTCTATTCCTTCCACTCCCTCCTGAATACACATGTGAATCCTTCATGACAACTATGCCCTTCCCCAGAGCCTCCGCCACCTGATAGTATCCCACCCCGCTCTTAATTCCTTATCTCTACCCCTATCTCCTTCCTTTTCAAATTCTCCACCACGCACTGTATGCCCATATGCGTTATAACAACCCAGATATAACTCCAATATTGGAATATTCGTGGTTTCCGTACTCGCAGAACTATCCCTTCTTATAACCCATCCATAATAGGTTTCCAAAAGACCTTTCTTACACATCCTCTACCTGACAACCTCTACTCCTTCCTCAGACGTATACATATTCTTCCCTTGATCTAATCCATTTACCTAACCCCCACCGTAACCCATCCATTCATCATTTCCTTTACCCATTTTCATCTCTCAATATTACACTAGATAGCAACTAACTACTAGCTCAAGCACCCTTCGCTACCCGTTACTCTACCTTCCTATAATGTTATGATTTTAGATGTCTAGCAAATGATCTTAGATGTCTACCAAAGGTCAGCCGAGTGTTCTTCGGTGTGATCCAGATGCAGAGATCTTCACTTGACATTTCTTCAGATCGCTATTTTCTTGTGGATAAGAAACCTGTGACACTCGATTCTCTTTGGTAGTAAAGATCCCCTCAGTAGCTGTGGGATGGGTAAGCAATGCATTTGCAGTAGCCTGTAGTTGTGGTATGAGTTAGCAACACGTGTGCGGTAGCCTGAGGGACAGGAGTTTTAATGGAATATTACTTCTGATATCCAGGACGAGAGTACATCCTTCATATTTTAACCACTTGCTTCTATTTTTAGTTTCTGCTTCCTCCCAGTCAGTCCTCGCCCAGTTCCATTGTCTTCACAGGTGATATGCTAAAGCGAGGTGACGTTCTTGATCTATTATCACCTACCCTTTCTGTCTCGGAGGAGGTGAATGTGAGATTATTGAATGGCTCTACAGAGGGATGGGAAGAAGTTCGTGCATGGTAGTATGTTTGGAGAATATCGACATGGTATTAATTTCTGTGTAGGTATCCAATTGTTCGTGAATGTTAAAGCCCATTCATGTTGCCATTCCCTAAGACCTTCCCCTTGATTTTGACATCAGTATCACAAGATCTGCTTGGAAGTGAGAAGAATCTTGGTGTGAGCAGAAGGATCATTTTTGGCTGGCCTGAGAATGTCTTTCCAACTGTCATGAGAAATTGCCAGTGTTTCCCCGACTGTCATGAGAAATTGCCAGTGTTTCCCCGACTGTCATGAGAAATTGCCAGTGTTTCCCCGACTGTCATGAGAAATTGCCAGTGTTTCCCCGACTGTCATGAGAAATTGCCAGTGTTTCCCCGACTGTCATGAGAAATTGCCAGTGTTTTCCCGACTGTCATGAGAAATTGCCAGTGTTTCCCCGACTGTCATGAGAAATTGCCAGCGTTTCCCGACTGTCATGAGAAATTGCCAGCGTTTCCGCCGACTGTCATGAGAAATTGCCAGTGTTTCCCCGACTGTCATGAGAAATTGCCAGTGTTTCCCCGACTGTCATGAGAAATTGCCAGTGTTTCCCCGACTGTCATGAGAAATTGCCAGTGTTTCCCCGACTGTCATGAGAAATTGCCAGTTTCCCCCGACTGTCATGAGAAATTGCCAGCGTTTCCCCGACTGTCATGAGAAATTGCCAGCGTGTTTCCCGACTGTCATGAGAAATTGCCAGTGTTCCACCACTCCCCGACTGTCATGAGAAATTGCCAGCGTTTCCCCGACTGTCATGAGAAATTGCCAGCGTTTCCCCGACTGTCATGAGAAATTGCCAGTTTCCCCGACTGTCATGAGAAATTGCCAGCGTTTCCCCGACTGTCATGAGAAATTGCCAGTGTTTCCCCCGACTGTCATGAGAAATTGCCAGTGTTTCCCCCGACTGTCATGAGAAATTGCCAGTGTTTCCCCGACTGTCATGAGAAATTGCCAGTGTTTCCCCGACTGTCATGAGAAATTGCCAGTGTTTCCCCGACTGTCATGAGAAATTGCCAGTGTTTTCCCCGACTGTCATGAGAAATTGCCAGTGTTTCCCCGACTGTCATGAGAAATTGCCAGTGTTTCCCCGACTGTCATGAGAAATTGCCAGTGTTTCCCCGACTGTCATGAGAAATTGCCAGTGTTTCCCCGACTGTCATGAGAAATTGCCAGTGTTTCCCCGACTGTCATGAGAAATTGCCAGTGTTTCCCCGACTGTCATGAGAAATTGCCAGTGTTTCCCCGACTGTCATGAGAAATTGCCAGTGTTTCCCCGACTGTCATGAGAAATTGCCAGTGTTTCCCCGACTGTCATGAGAAATTGCCAGTGTTTCCCCGACTGTCATGAGAAATTGCCAGTGTTTCCCGACTGTCATGAGAAATTGCCAGTGTTTCCCCGACTGTCATGAGAAATTGCCAGTGTTTCCCCGACTGTCATGAGAATCTTCTTTACAGGTGGAGGTTGTGACGCAGCCAGTGTATGTGACGACGAACCTGTGGGTCGAGGCACCCCAGCTGAGCCTTATCACTTCCACACACTATGTGCCACACTACCACACCCAGACAACCACCGTCACCAATAAAGTCTACGAGACCATCTGTACTAAACCAGGATACTACTGATAGAAACTAGAAAATCGGTACATTGTAAATATTGTATATGTAAACATCGATTTTATTCAACTGATTTTTAGATGTAAAGAAAATATTTTAACGTTTTACTTTGTATGTATAAATAAAATAAATAAATAAAAACTTTGGAAAGATAGTTGTTCTTTTATTTAACATGGATACTTTTAATGAAATTCACGAACATGTCTAAAAAACGGTATTTACAAAGTTGATAAATAGTATGTGCCTGGGATAAGAGGTGTGTGTGGGGGGGGGGTATGAGGTGAGGTGTGTGTGTGGGTGTTGGTGGCCTGAGATGAGGTGTGTGTGTGTGTGTGGGTGGCCTGAGATGAGTGTGTGTGTGTGGGTGTTGGTGGCCTGAGATGAGGTGTGTGAGTGGGTGTTGGTGTCCTGAGATGAGGTGTGTGAGTGGGTTGTTGGTGGCCTGAGATGAGGTGTGTGTGTGGGTGTTGGTGGCCTGAGATGAGGTGTGTGAGTGGGTGTTGGTGTCCTGAGATGAGGTGTGTGAGTGGGTGTTGGTGGCCTGAGATGAGGTGTGTGTGTGGGTGTTGGTGGCCTGAGATGAGGTGTGGTGTGGGTGTTGGTGGCCTGAGATGAGGTGTGTGTGTGGGTGTGGGTGTCCTGAGATGAGGTGTGTGTGTGGGTGTTGGTGTCCTGAGATGAGGTGTGTGTGTGGGTTTGGTGTCCTGAGATGAGGTGTGTGTGTGGGTGTTGGTGGCCTGAGATGAGGTGTGTGTGTGGGTGTTGGTGGCCAGAGATGAGGTGTGTGTGTGTGTGTGTGTGTGTGTTGGTGGCCTGAGATGAGGTGTGTGTGTGTGGGTGTTGGTGGCCTGAGATGAGGTGTGTGTGTGTGTGTGTTGGTGGCCTGAGATGAGGTGTGTGTGTGTGTGTTGGTGGCCTGAGATGAGGTGTGTGTGTGTGTGTGTGTGGGTGTCCTGAGATGAGGTGTGTGAGTGGGTGTTGGTGGCCTGAGATGAGGTGTGTGTGTGTGGGGGGGGGGGGTGGCCTGAGATGAGGTGTGTGTGTGGGGGGGGGGGTGGCCTGAGATGAGGTGTGTGTGTGGGTTTTGGTGTCCTGAGATGAGGTGTGTGTGTGGGGTTGGTGTCCTGAGATGAGGTGTGTGTGTGTGAGAGAGAGTGTGTTGGTGGCCTGAGATGAGGTGTGTGAGTGGGTGTTGGTGTCCTGAGATGAGGTGTGTGTGTGTGAGAGAGAGTGTGTTGGTGGCCTGAGTGAGGTGTGTGTGTGGGTGTTGGTGGCCTGAGATGAGGTGTGTGTGTGGGTGTTGGTGGCCTGAGATGAGGTGTGTGTGTGGGTGGGTGGCCTGAGGAGTGTGTGTGTGGTGTGTGGTGGCCTGAGATGAGGTGTGTGTGTGGGTGTTGGTGGCCTGAGATGAGGTGTGTGTGTGTGAGAGAGAGTGTGTTGGTGGCCTGAGTGAGGTGTGTGTGTGGGTGTTGGTGGCCTGAGATGAGGTGTGTGTGTGGGTGTTGGTGCCTGAGATGAGGTGTGTGAGTGGGTGTTGGTGTCCTGAGATGAGGTGTGTGTGTGGGTGTTGGTGTCCTGAGATGAGTGTGTGTGGGTGGGTGGCCTGAGATGAGGTGTGTGTGTGGGTGTGGGTGGCCTGAGATGAGGTGTGTGGGGGTGTTGGTGGCCTGAGATGAGGTGTGTGTGTGGATGTTGGTGGCCTGAGATGAGGTGTGTGTGTGGGTGTTGGTGGCCTGAGATGAGGTGTGTGTGTGGGTGTTGGTGGCCTGAGATGAGGTGTGTGTGTGGGTGTTGGTGTCCTGAGATGAGGTGTGTGTGTGTGTGTTGGTGGCCTGAGATGAGGTGTGTGTGTGGGTGTTGGTGGCCTGAGATGAGGTGTGTGTGTGGGTGTTGGTGGCCTGAGATGAGGTGTGTGTGTGGGTGTTGGTGGCCTGATGAGGTGTGTGTGGGTGTTGGTGTCCTGAGATGAGGTGTGTGTGTGGGTGTTGGTGTCCTGAGATGAGGTGTGTGTGTGGGTGTTGGTGTCCTGAGATGAGGTGTGTGTGTGGGTGTTGGTGTCCTGAGATGAGGAGTGTGTGTGGGTGTTGGTGGCCTGAGATGAGGTGTGTGTGTGTGTGTGGGTGGCCTGAGATGAGGTGTGTGTGTGTGTGTGGGTGGCCTGAGATGAGGTGTGGGTGGCCTGAGATGAGGTGTGTGTGTGTGTGGGTGGCCTGAGATGAGGTGTGTGTGTGTGTGTGTGTAACCTGAGATGAGTGTGTGTGGGGGGACCTGAGATGAGGTGTGTGGGGGGGGGGGTATCTGAGATGAGGTGTGGGGGGCGGACCTGAGATGAGGTGTGTGTGGGGGGGGACCTGAGATGAGGTGTGTGTGGGGGGGGACCTGAGATGAGGTGTGTGTGTGGGTGTTGGTGGCCTGAGATGAGGTGTGTGTGTGTGTGTTGGTGGCCTGAGATGAGGTGTGTGTGTGGGTGTTGGTGGCCTGAGATGAGGTGTGTGTGTGTGTTGGTGTCCTGAGATGAGGTGTGTGTGTGGGTGTTAGTGGCCTGAGATGAGGTGTGTGTGTGGGTGTTGGTGGCCTGAGATGAGGTGTGTGTGGTGTTGGTGGCCTGAGATGAGGTGTGTGTGTGGGTGTTGGTGGCCTGAGATGAGGTGTGTGTGTGGGTGTTGGTGGCCTGAATGAGGTGTGTGTGTGGTGTTGGTGGCCTGAGATGAGGTGTGTGTGTGGGTGTTGGTGGCCTGAGATGAGGTGTGTGTGTGGGTGTTGGTGGCCTGAGATGAGGTGTGTGTGTGTGTTGGTGTCCTGAGATGAGGTGTGTGTGTGGGTGTTAGTGGCCTGAGATGAGGTTGTGTGTGGGTGTTAGTGGCCTGAGATGAGGTGTGTGTGGGTGTTGGGGCCAGAGATGAGTGTGTGTGTGTGTGTTGGTGGCCTGAGATGAGTGTGTGTGTGGGTGTTGGTGGCCTGAGATGAGGTGTGTGTGTGTGTGTTGGTGGCCTGAGATGAGGTGGTGTGTGGGTGTTGGTGGCCTGAGATGAGGTGTGTGTGTGTTGGTGTCCTGAGATGAGGTGTGTGTGTGGGTGTTAGTGGCCTGAGATGAGGTGTGTGTGTGGGTGTTAGTGGCCTGAGATGAGGTGTGTGTGTGTGTGTTGGTGGCCTGAGATGAGGTGTGTGTGTGGGTGTTGTGGCCTGAGATGAGGTGTGTGTGTGTGTTGGTGTCCTGAATGAGGTGTGTGTGTGGGTGTTAGTGGCCTGAGATGAGGTGTGTTGTGTGGTGTTAGTGGCCTGAGATGAGGTGTGTGTGTGTGGGTTGGTGGCCTGAGATGAGGTGTGTGTGTGTGGGTGTTGGTGGCCTGAGATGAGGTGTGTGTGTGGGTGTTGGTGTCCTGAGATGAGGTGTGTGTGTGGGTGTTGGTGTCCTGAGATGAGGTGTGTGTGTGGGTGTTGGTGTCCTGAGATGAGGAGTGTGTGTGGGTGTTGGTGGCCTGAGATGAGGTGTGTGTGTGTGTGGTGTGTGCCTGAGATGAGGTGTGTGTGTGGGTGTTGGTGGCCTGAGATGAGGTGTGTGTGTGTGTGTGTTGGTGGCCTGAGATGAGGTGTGTGAGTGGGTGTTGGTGTCCTGGAGATGAGGTATGTGAGTGGGTGTTGGTGTCCTGAGATGAGGTGTGTGTGTGTGTGTGTGTGTGTGTGGCCTGAGATGAGGTGTGTGAGTGGGTGTTGGTGTCCTGAGATGAGGTGTGTGAGTGGGTGTTGGTGGCCTGAAGATGAGGTGTGTGTGTGTGTGTGTGTGTGTCCTGAGATGAGGTGTGTGTGTGTGGGTGTTGGTGTCCTGAGATGAGGTGTGTGAGTGGGTGTTGGTGTCCTGAGATGAGGTGTGTGTGTGTGGGTGTTGGTGGCCTGAGATGAGGTGTGTGTGTGTGTGTGTTGGTGGCCTGAGATGAGGTGTGTGTGTGGGTGTTGGTGGCCTGAGATGAGGTGTGGTGTGGGTGTTGGTGGCCTGAGATGAGGTGTTGTTGTGTGGGTGTGGTGGCCTGAGATGAGGTGTGTGTGGGTGTTGGTGGCCTGAGATGAGGTGTGTGTGGGTGTTGGTGCCTGAGATGAGGTGTGTGTGTGGGTGTGTTGGGCCTGAGATGAGGTGTGTGTGTGGGTGTTGGTGGCCTGAGATGAGGTGTGTGTGTGGGTGTTGGTGGCCTGAGATGAGGTGTGTGTGTGGGTGTTTTAGTGGCCTGAGATGAGGTGTGTGTGTGGGTGTTAGTGGCCTGAGATGAGGTGTGGGGTGGGTGTTGTGTCCTGAGATGAGGAGTGTGTGGTGTGGGGGGGCCTGAGATGAGGTGTGGGGGGGGGGGACCTGAGATGAGCGTGTGGGGTGTTGGTGGCCTGAGATGAGTGTGTGTGGGGGGGGGGACCTGAGATGAGGTGTGGGGGGGCCTGAGATGAGGTGTGTGTGTGTGTGTGTGAGTGAGTGTTAGTGGCCTGAGATGAGGAGTGTGTGGTGGGGGGGGGGCCTGAGATGAGGTGG